ATATATATATATCCATGTAACTTGAGAATATTAGCAATACATTACAAACGGTGCGATCCATAAAATAATTTTCGTTAAATAAAACGCAAGATTACTTTTTGTGTACAAGAACTCACCCTCTATATCTATATGGCATTTTAGGTTTAGCAATATGAAATAGAATTAATCCAAGCCGCATTGTAAATCAGATGCTATGTATCTTTAAATAAATCACACGTACTTAATAAAGGTTATGTCACTGTGTCCCACAGCCCCACACATAGGCTGCGTTCAGATATTCACTGCCAGTATTGAAAACCTATAGTATACGTGACGTAAACTATAGATTTTCAGTACTGACAGTGAATATCGGAACGCAGCCTATGAATGAAAGTTCAATTTTTTTATATGCCTGTGAGAAAATATAAACCGCATCGGTAATACAAATTAATAATATATAAATATATGAAGAAAGATTACGTATTTCAGAAATTTGTATTATCTCTTTTAAATCGTTTTGGACTAGATTTATCAGAGCTCGGAATTTCTTTTGAAATTTGAATAAACTATTTTAGCTCGTTTTATCTTTTATCAGGATAATACTTTGCTAATCTTTTTGTAGCGTGTGTTTCATCAAATTTATACGTTTCACACGATAGGCGATAGTTAACCAATTTACAGATGCATGCATTATTTTCAGGAAAATATGGGATATATATTTCAATACTTGTTAACTATCTTGTTAAGGAATAATTGTGTTTAAAATATAAAAGTACATCTCTCTGTTGATTATATTCTCTTCTAGGTACATAGTTTTTAAAACACGCTTTTTATCATAAGTACTTTTAAATCCATCAATGGCAGAAATTAATATACAAATGTACAAAAAAAATTTTGAAATTTGTGCTCTATCTTAAAATGGAAATTGTGTTAAATCTTCTAAATTTTTGGTTTTTTTTCTTAATATTCTCAAAAAATTCAATTTTTACTTAAATTTTATTTATCTCCTTCGGATTATATTTTCCTGTAGAATTTAAAATTTAAATCGGAATTTTAGTTTGTATATCTCTTATAGATATGTATACAAGGGTAACTTTGACGATTTTTCGAGGGTAAAAACAAAACGGACGAAATTTCATTACAATTGTATTATGGCTAAAATGGACGAGGTACAGACATTGCCCTGTTTTGCAGTAATACGAATCAATTTTTCTACAATACAAATAGTATCTCATACAATACAAATAATATTTCAAGAACACAGTCAACTTTTTTACAATAAAAGTTTCGTGATTCTTCCTTCTCGTGTACAGCGTGAAACATCAACTTGTTCGATATTAAGTTATCGCGTATTTAATTTGACTCGAGTGAAAATTAAATGTTGCATATATAATTCCCGCCCAGTAATATTTATGACATCCAAACCGTCCAGTTTAGTTTGTGGCAATCTGTTAAATCAACTTTCAGTAGCAAATGCAACTGCCTCAATATTTAATAAGAACTGAATATTTCTTTTACTAAAGATGTGTAAGACTAGAGTTATATTAAAGGAAAGAATTATGTTGGATATTATTTTGACTATTAATTGGCATAGAAGTGTGGCCTCTTTGCGCTGGCGGCTGATAGATGGGTTGTGTATTCCGTTGTTGATTCCGCTTTTTATTGTACCCCTTATTCCCACCAACAGTACCGTTTCCACCTCGTCGAAATTCCATAGGTGCTGCTGTCACAATTTCTAATTGAATTACATCTTTTTCGTGTGTGTGCGCGCGCGATGTACTAAGATATTTTATATAAATGTACAAAACATAATTCTCTCTTTACTTTAAGAATTTCAAATTTAATATTAGAAGTCAATGATTTATCACTCACCATTTATGTGATTGTGACTTTGATCGTAACGTGGCTGTCGATTGTTAGGACGTTGATCCTGCCGTCTCATATCTGAGACGTGATCTTGATACTATTGCGATAATTAAAAATAAGGAATATTATTATAAATACATATCGTTATTGTTATCTACTTATTATAACTTTATGTTATGTAATCTTACGTACATCATCTGTTATTGGTATACAATCCACTTGAAGCACCTCCTCATAGTTCTCAAATCCCTTGAATTGCACTACGCAGGTTCTCTCGGAAACACCAGTAACTTCGGCATTGTAATACTATAAATTTTGTACAGAAAGATTAATGTCTCATGCTTAATACAAAGTATTTAAAGAAAAATGGTATATACCCTATTATCTTCCCAATATTTGGCCATACACTTATCACCTACTCGCCATACCCATGTATTGTTGGTGGAAACATTATGATTATTGTAATTGCTTTCGCTTCTTTGCAAGTTAGGATTCCCGGACATCCTGTTCCCAACATTATTATTTGACTGGTATTTAAGTTGGTTCTTAAAATTCTGTTCAGTTGTATTAGAGGTGTAACCTACTTTCGAGGTTCCACTTTGTTGCGCTCGATTTTGTCTACCATAAGATGCGTCATAAGAATGTCTATTTCTACTCTCGGGATCGAAGTGATTATAGTTTCTGTTACTACTGAAATTCTTTTCTTGTAGTTCAGTCTGATTTTTGTTATAGTTCTCATTACCACTATCATTAGCATTTACGCTACTTGTGCGCGACTGAGCAAACATATTTTTATAATCATTTGGCTGAGATTTCTGATATGCTTCTCTGCCACCATCGTATTGATACTGATATTGAAGTTCTTGATTACGTTGAAATCTTGGTGGTTTGTTTTGCTGTGCATGAGTGGCACCGTTATATTGCAGATACGTGGCAGAATTGCTATTACTTGTTCGTTTGCTATTTTTATGTTCCTCCAAATATCGTGGAGGAGGTTGATAGCTGCGGCCACTTTTTTGACTTCTATATATATAAAAAAAAAATCGGTATTAGAACAATCAACTAACTTTCGTTATAATTAACTTTTGCTAAATATTATTATAATTCCATCTTATAAGAAAGGTACATACCGCGCACCTCTTCCACTTTGTGCATCGTTGCCTCTCGATTCAAGACGATCTTGATTATTTTTACTATTTTGTACATAGTTATTTTGTGACAAATTAACTGTTTCAACGCTTTCAGGTTGCACAGGTAGTTTATCTTCAAGAAAATCAAATAGAGATATTTTTCCACTGCTGGGTTTACTCTCTTCAGTTTTCTTGTCACGCTTGCCACGTGGCTCTCGCGGTTCTCGAGATTCCTTAACGCTATTGCAATATAAGATTATAATTTGAATGAGAAAGAAAAGCAAAAAAAAAAAAATATTAATACTTACCTATGCTTACTATCGGTTTTTTGCAGGCTTCTAAGAGCTCTATCCACGTTATTTCTGTTAATTCTTAAAGCGTATTCTGCTTGCTCTATGGTAAATCCCCGATCTATGATTTTCTGTACACTATGATCTAAAAGCTATGGAAAAAAATATAAATCAGTTTTTTTTAGATATTATTAATTTACAAATTTACTAGAAAAGAACAAAAACAAAATAAACCTGCTTATTTCCACCGCCAAATATTTTCTTATTGCCTTGTTTGGCAGCCTCTGCTATTGCATCTTTACGCTGAGCCTCAAACTCTGTATTCTCTTTATTAGTTTTTTCTTTTTCTACTAGTGCTTTAAAGTTTTTATCCTGCTCTGAAACTTTTATGATCTTTTTACCAAATGGTATCCATGGTGGTGGTCCACCTTCTTCAGTCGATCTTACACGAGTATGTGAAGCTAATTTCTATAACAAAAGCAGTTGTATATACTTCTTGCATCCGGTAAATAAATTATTATTAAGTTAATTGAAATAAAAACTATTATAAATTCTAATTTTTTAAATCTATATTTTTGCATATTTATTAAATGGAGTGTAATTTACCTTATTTAATTCCCATTTTTCCACTAAATTGGTAACTTTTCCCCCGAGTATATGAACTATATCTGATGGGTTCAATAAAAGAATTCCATGTGATACAGGTAAGATTCCTGATTTTATCAATATCTTCGTACCAGGTGGTGTATTTAAACTAATAGCATATAAAATTGATGGTAAGAAATAATCATAAAAAAAATAATATATAAAAGATAGTACAAAATTTTATATACTTACTTTAAAGCTGATATATGTTCAATTTCTAAAGCTTGAAAATTATTTTTACCATCCGTCAATGATAATTTTAACATTCGTGGGGCTGTTCTTGATTCTTCATTTCCCTTGGGTGCAGAGATATTACGTATCTTTTGTATTTGTAACACAATATTGCCCTGATTGATATCTCTATTTCCACTACCGACCTCTCTTAAGTCAAGCTATAAATAATTTTTTTCTTCACATATATATCTTGAAAATTATTTACACCAATCTCAAGTTGAAGAGTTTCTGAAATTTGGTTTATATGTAAATAGAGAGAATCATATAATACATACATCTAACAATCGTTTTATTATCCTCTGCGTATCACTTATGCTGCCCGAATCAGTTGCCACGTTATAACCATGATCAGACAAGTACCTAATAATAAGTAATTACAAATATTAATCGTAATTCAGGTAATCTATGGGCTATTCGATCTTCCTGAGAAAGAGAATATATCTTTTCCTTTAGCATAGAGAATCAGCAAGTGGGGTGCGATACGACGAGTACATCCTACTTACCATCCTAACGCCTCTAGATTCTCCATGTCTATGCCGTACTTTCTCTTTGTTGGATGAAAATTTGTCGCGTCTCATTGAATTGACGCACAGCCTTCGCAAAGCGTTATTACTATGCTATTCGTGACTTTGCGTTGAATGTTCTGTATGCGCCTACACGTATACAAAAACATTTGACAGCTGACAATTAAGTTAAACTGCGATTGATCTCAGCTGATCTCAGCGTAGTCGTCTTGACGGCGGCTCAGCCGTCAATATCTCGACTCTGTCAAGGTGCTTATAAGCCCGGCCTATCACACGAAACAGCTGATACAGCTATTATAATCTGAAAGAAACCGCACCTATCCAATCTGAAAACACACTCGTCTCCATCTTGCATACTTGGAGCAGCGTGCCCGAGTTGAACTCGATAGACATCTCGATAGCGATAGATATCGATAGAACCGCCGTTTGCGCACAATTCAAAGAAAATTCCTTTGGAATATATAGTTTATTTATAATTAGATCACAATTAATTGATAATCGAGATTTTTATCTTTTTCTACATTTTTGAAAGTTATTTAAATTTCGGAATAAAATACTATACAAAAATAATATATTTGGAATAAAATAATAATATTATATTATTGATGTGCCTCGATAATGAAACGCTTTTGTTTCTTGTATTTTATGTATTTCATAATATAGAAATGTCCTGAAACATTTAATTTATATGAATAAAAATTGATTCTTTTGTGATGTATCAAATACGTATATGTCAAGATAACTTAGTTCAATATTATATGTATGTTATGTCAAGTGTACAGAATCATCATATAGTAATGGCTTGATTAAAGCCCTTAGGCTGGATGACGATTATTTCAATTAGAACGAACGATTATTACTTGGGTGGAGCAGTCGCTGAACAAACGCTGAAATTACCGCTATCAAATACGAACTAACTTTGGAAATGACACAGGCATATGATATACGTGCTGAAAATGATTATGGTCCACCCACCCTGCGTTTTATTATACATCATTGATAGTTAATACAGTAACATTATGCGCGCGCTTTTTTTTACAGACATTTTCCAATTTTTTAAATTTTTCTTTCCATATATATATATATATATATATATGTACGTACATAGATATCGGTTATGTAGCTGGCTACGTATCTGTCTGTTGGAAATGCAATACGCGAGTGCATCGGTCTGTATGTACATACAGGCTGCGTGTGCGCGGAAAGATATTCGGGGATCTGGAAATGTTTTCTCGCATGCGGTCGACGCGCGAAATGGGAAAAGATGCCGTACGGATCGCCAAGTTATTTTTGCTACGCCTTTCTACTCTCTCGTAAAGCTACATTGTAACGCGTTCATTGTACGAATGAATTTTACACATTAACTGTAGAAACAGAATTTAAACTTTCTATATATAATTTTATTACAAATTAACACAAACATCTATCAACACATATTTTTATATAGATAAAACACGTAGATAAATATCTAATTAATAATTAATAGAAAGATTAATAACTATTATAAATTTGGATCAGAGATCGTCGGATATGGCTTTTTATCATATTGTTTAAAGTTAAGCGCGAACAATTCATCAATTACGGATTAGATAAATGCAAATTGTCTCGTACGGAAAGATTTGATAACTCGGATATTGTGAGGGACGATGAACGCGATTCGTAAAGTGAAAATTGCGAATGGATGAGTCGTGTGCGCGGGATGCGCGAGACGGCCGGCAAAACTTTCGCGGTTTGCACGAGGGCGATGCACCCTCCTGACGCGCTCGCGGGAAAGCGTATACGCCGTGGCACATATGTACCCTCGTAGGTAACGTCACGTATCTATCCCGCGTATTTACCTATCGCATCGATGCGAGACGCGGAAGAACTTTTATCCCCCACACTCCTCTCTCTTCTCCCCTGTCGGTCCTCGCGGAGCTCGAGTTTCGGAGCGGACCGGCGCGTGGTGTAGTTCGACTCGACTCGACTCGGAATGGTTGGCGGTGGTCGATCTCTCTCCTCGTTTTTCATCGGTTCCAGTCAATAAAGCTCGTGGCTCTTGTTTTGCCTTCGTTAATAATACTTTTATAAAATTTAATTTTATTAATTTACAAAAATTACCTTTCTTTATATATTGTAGTTCGTTCCATAGTTGTTAATGTAGTTCGTTCACATTTTCGAATAACCGTCAATAGCCGAAGAAACACTTTTCGGTACATTTGAAATTGATTATAAACTGGTTTATTTCAAAACCTATGGAGCGAACTACACTCACTTTGATCTTATTTGAAAGATAATTTAATTCCAAACGAAAAGTTTCCCATATACATGGGTCGAAAAATGCTTCCTTAAAAAGTTAGCGCCCAAAAACCTTTAAAATCATGGTTATTTTTTACATTTTTATAAATATCAGGGAAAGTATGCGCCTTTTAACAAAAAGTACCGAAACAAAAATTGTAGAGAATTAAATTATCTTTCAAATGAGATCAAAGTTATTGTATTGAGTTGAACGGAAAGATCGTGCCGTTTTTTCGATCTTCATCTCTTAGTAAAAAACGGAACAATATTATCTCGTATAATATTAGAGTAAAATAAATAATTATACATGTATATAAATATATAGAAAATTATGTATGATATATTTTTTATGGATAATTGTGTTTTTAAAATTATTCTGAAATATAAAAAAGAGTGATTTTTTAAAATTAATAAAATTAAATTTTATAAAAAGATTATTAAAAAGTTTAGATTTATAAAAGGATTTATATATATATAAACTTTTTATAATTTAATCTAAACTTTTAATATATTTAATCCTTTTATAAATCTAAACTTTAACTAATAATTTAGATCAGATTAAATTTATTTATCAATATTATCTCGTATAATATTAGAGTAAAATAAATAATTATACATGTATATAAATATATAGAAAATTATGTATGATATATTTTTTATGGATAATTGTGTTTTTTTTTTATATAAAAATGATTAAATCGGAATAAAGCGAATCCTCCCGTCTTTTCTGCGCAGCACTTGCCAGATTAAAAACCCTTTGTAACGAAAGTAAAACATTGTATTCCTTTTAGCAACAAATGTAATCGATATCTCAATGACAATTATCAAGATAATGTTAAATCAACAGATCGCCTTTTCCGTAGGCAGCGGATGACTTGATTATCACATCTATATTCTTTCTCGAAAGTGGGACCCCGAGAAGTGGTCCCTCGTGTATCTCAACATGTGTGTCTTACTTATAAATGCATATGCGCATACGTGGTTCCCCACTTTTGTTGGCCCCCATCACACGATTTTCCTTGTATACAATAGCTCGCACTGTAGTTAGGCCACGATGGTAGTAGCGTACACGCAACGTATGGTATAGTAAGCGATGACTCGTTGAGGGAGACTCTAGTATAAGAGTATAAGAGAAAGAAAAAGAGAGAG